TGATAGCTCCAGAAAGTACACGATTACTCGGCTATTTACGAGGAGGTAACGCACATACATCGAGCAGGCTGTGGGTACTAACTTGTGATTGTGCAGCCCAAATCGAAGGACGTGGCGTAGCTGCATCGAGCATGATGTGAGAATTTTGCAGTAACATCACTGAAATGAGAATTATACGCATATTGCTGGAACGGTATTGGTAACCTTTGCTGTCTGTAAAAGGTGCAGTTGCCTGGCCACGCATTACTCTCTTTCTGTCTGCGACGCCGTCAAAAATGATTTGTATATCTAATTTTCGAATTCATCCAGTGCGTAATTTTCGCTACGGAAAAACAGATCTACTGAAAAAAATTTAGCTGCACAGAGCCAATTCGTACTGTGGCACCATCGAATACATGGCACCGGAAGTCGTGGAACGGACGCCAGGAGGTTACGATGAGATAGTCGATTGGTGGAGTCTTGGTGTTATTGCTTTTGAACTACTCACTGGTTGTTCTCCTTTCACAGTCGACGGACATTCGAACACAAGCAAGGATATTGCAAAGTTAGAATGATGTTTTTTTGTTAGGCTGCACAGCTGTTTCTTCCGAGGGCCTCCTTCTGTGAGTATTTTTCTGACAACTTGAACGCGCAGTGCAGTGGTGAGCCGGAGTTTAGTTGATAGCGGTTTTTGGCGTGGCTCATGGCCTCAACTTTGACGCTAGGTGCAGAAAGAGAATGTGAAGTAAACTTACTGAGATTGACTGCTTCCATGGTTGCTACGAACAAAGCTGCACTGGTGATCACCTGGTGAGCAGCCTACTGCTTTCTTTATTCGTTTTTCCAATGGAAATTGCTAACGCGTAGCATTCCGTCCGCCACTAATAGGTCGGCACACTTCTTTGTGATCATTTTGCGTCTGTCCGCATCGGGAGTTCTGCTATTGTCGGGATGAACATTCAGCATTAATTGCAAAAAACACGTCGCGGGTCGTAATTTTTACAGCAACTCGTATTTTTTCCATTCTTTGCAGAAGGATACTGACAAAACGCGTGCCATTCCCACGAAATTTTGACAAACTTGCAACGGACTTCATCAGTCGTTTACTCGAGAAATCAGCAAGACGTCGTTTAGGCCGAAAAGGTGTGGAAGAGATCAAAAAACATCCATTTCTTGCTGACACTGATTGGGAGAAATGTGAGCTTCGTGAACTGGAACCACCAATTATTCCTGTAGTCGCGAGTGAGGTAAGAGTGCACAGATATAGCACCAACCTAATCTATATGCAGTGAGTTGAGAACCGTTCTCTAATAGTACTTGCTTTTTCGCAACTTTCAGTGACGCCGTCTGAAATTCTATGCTTAGCGCCCTCTAAA